AGTCAAATATGGTATCTTAGGTTATAGGAACTGAAGTGACAGACCTTTATTTCTCTAGCTAGGGCTTAATCTTTTTTTTTTTTTTTTTTTTTTTTTTTTTTTTTTGGTGCCTGGAATCAAACTCAGGACCTTGTGCTTGCCAGGCAGGTGCTTGTGCTGCTGAGCTACATCCCCAGCCCCTGACCTGATTCCAGAATATATCCATTCCATTGTCCCTGTTGCCCTATCCCTACACTCTAGTTTTTTCTAGGTTTTAATGTGTGCTAGTGATGTGTTAGTGGTAGTACAGTAAGTCCCTGACTTACGAACATTCAGGTTGTGAACTTTCACAGCTATACTGTAAAGGCTCACTTTGTTGGATCAGGAATGAATCCAATGTGTGAATGTCCGGCAGTCGCAGACTGGCTGTGTCTACCTGTGATTTGGAGGCATCTGCACTGTGGGAAACTGTGGTGCTGCTCTGCCCTCCTCACAAGGCCAGCTTTGCCTCTCCAGCCCCAGCAATTGTACGGCCTGGCAGTGTTTCCTCCATGTAATAGGAAACTAAATCTTAACACAGTTAGGTAATTTGCCCCCGCCCATGTAATTTTTAAGTGACAGAGCCCAGATTCAGACTCAGGATTTAGAGTCAGGCCTGGAAACTCTATAGTTTGCACACTGTCTTCTGCGTCAATGATTCATGACTTAGGATCGTAATTATGGAGTCTGTCATCTTAGGTTCAAGTTAGAGAGTTTACCAAATTCTTTTATTTGCTTATGGAAGTTTGCGGCTTCAGCTTGAATTGAGCACATGATTTGACCTACAGAAAGCCCTTTAACTTTGATGGAGGAATTGATCTTTTATTCTCTCAGATTCTTAAGATCACATGACTTAATCTGTGATAGACTAAAATATGGTTCCCAAAAGATGCCCATATTCTAATCACCAGCACCCTGTACTACAAATGTTGTAAATGTTACCCTGTATGACAGAAAGGGATGGGGGTCTCTGTAGGTATGATTCAGTTAAGGATCTTGAGAGGAGATTCTACAGTGGACCCAAAATGCAGTCCCCTGCACCCTTGGAAGAGGCAGGTGGCGGGGCTGATGTGCGGGGAGGGGTCTGGGAGCACACAGCCGCAGCCAGGAGCCTCAGCCAGGAGCTGGGAGACCCTGCTGTGAACTTCATGGCTTAAAACAACAGAGTCCAAAGTTGGTTTGCTGGGCTGAGATCAGAGTGTCAAGAGGCTGTGTCCCTCCAGAGGCAGGCAGGTGCTCTCCCCCAGAGCTGTTCGGGGCCCCCACGATTGCAGGAGCTGCAGCAAACTGACACAGTGTCCGCCTGATTTGGCTCTCAGTCATCTCTGCCTGGGGCACAGCTAGTGTTTTCTGCTGACCTGAAGCTCTCTCTCTGTCTCTGTTTTTAAATAGCTAACTCCTTCAGAGTAGTTTTCTCATGAGTTACACTGACAGTCTTTCTTACGTTTCTCTAGGCTGCCAAACTTTTTGATGAAGAAGGAAGGAAAAAATTCTTTACACAGGATATGAATAATATTCTTCTGGAGTAAGTAATCTTTTCTCTTTTTACTTTCTTTGCCAGGGTGGGGGGCAGTACTGGTGATTAAACCCACGGATATCACACTGAGCTACATCCTCATCCCCCCTCACGCTATTTTTGGAGAAGAGTCTCTCTAAGTCACTTGTTGCTTAGGCTGGGTTTACATTTGGAATCCTTCTACCTCAGGCTCCCAGTGTGTTGGGGTTACAGATGCCCACTACCACAGCCGGCCTTAATTTTCTTATTTTATTGAAAGACCTTAAGAATTGCACAGTGAAAACTAGAGTAGTCCTGTGAGATCAGATGCTGATGCATGGCTGGTTTGGGCATCAGCTCTTCCCTTTCAGCCTTACACTTTGTATGATTAACATTTGCTTCTTAGCAAAATAATGCATCTGTAGATATTGGACCACTTAATGGTAACCAAAGCTTCTGGGAAGGTGACAGAAGTTGGACTGGGAAAAAGAGGTGAAGGTTGATACATAGTGTACATTGTATTTAAATTAGATTTTGTATCTAATTTAGTAATAATTTTGCATTTGGACTCAGATGCTAATGAAGCTGTAGGTTCTAAGGTTGTAATCAAATAAGCTGTACCTGTTACTGTTGACTCTCAGATTTTGACCATTGGTAACAGGAATTCAGTATACAACTGGCTGTGGGCTGAACTATGCAAAAAAGTGGTCATGGAGAAAGCAGCAGTTTTATTCCTCAGATGAAAACCACCTGATACAGTGGCTCATTGCGTGAGACAGACTCGGGAAAGGAGTGTTTGTAAGACTGTGATTGCCATCCCATACATACTCATAAGTAAAAAGGACAGATTGGTTCCTTAGTTATGATGACCATTTGTAATTACCTACAGTCAGTCATCTTGGACTGAGAAGACACACAGCGTGGTATGTTTCTAGTGTGCTGGCCGAGGACTTTCGTGCCTGCTCTCCTTCCCTTCAGCCAGGGAGTTCAGGTTAGGCGTGTCTGCCTGGGAGCCAGCAGATGCTTCCTGTCTGCATTGCTGCCTTTTACTGTGCCCCTTTTATGCCCCAGACTCAACAAACAGTGCAGTTGTTACTTATCAGAGCTGTCCCGGATTCCACAATCACGGATCCGACCAGCTCTTTTTCTTTGCCCCTGAGACCACTAAATGCACTAGATCAGCTCTTTCTCTTGTGACTGAGAGAGTTTTGTGGGTTTTGTTTTGTTTGTTTTCCTTCTCCGTAAGAGAGAACACTCTTTCTCCCCCGGGAGAGCTGAGGCCCATCCTCAGGACGCAGCCTCTCAGATAAGCACACTGGCAGCTTCTCGCTAGCGGCTTCTCTGCCTCCTCCCACGTCGGCTGTAAAGCACACTTTGCATTTTGGGACCCTGTCGCCTTCCATTTCACCGGAGGTGTGACTCAGTTCTCAAGCTCTTAGCATTAGTGATTTTTTCTCTCTTTCCACCTTTGTTGTTATTCCCTCTTTCCACTTTTTATTTTCTCCTTTTCCACTTTCCTGAGCACACGTGCCTTACTTTTCTGGCCTGAATTGTTTTTCTAAGGGCACGTGATGATTATTTGGGATAGAAAATTAAATTATCCAGCTGAACTGCGTCTGCCTCACCATTTTTTCCTTATGTTTGGAAGAAAAAGAGATCAGTTTATTGAAATAGGAAACCTGTTTTCTTTTTCCATAATCAAAGTTGACTTCAGTCAACAGATACACCGTGTGTACTGGCTTGATTTCCCCTCGTTACTTGAAGCTGATAGATATTGCTGAAAAGCATCGCTCACAATCCCAGTCACCCTAGCAGTTCTGCTCAACAAGTTGCTGTAGGCCTGCCTCACCACCCTGCTGGACACTTGCAGCGAAGCCTGCCTGCCATCTCTGCTGGGTGCTCCTGTACAGGGCTCATGAACAAGTACCGACTTTGAATCTCAGCGTTGGGGGACTTAACAGTTGGTGTCTTTTCAGGAAGTCAACTGTTCCTATATCTGAGTTGCCTCTTAGGAAACCACTGGCTTTTATAAGTGGGTCATAGTCAGTCTGCCTTTACCTGAACTCTCTAAATACTTGGAGTTTCTATTTTATTTTCAGCCTTAACTAACTTCCAGTCACAAGGCAGCCTGGAGGGCTTTCTACCACAGTAGACTTTCAGCAATGATCTAACCATATCATGTTACCTAACCAAAGGTTTCTACAGAGAAGTAATGACCATAGTGATTGTTGCACATGTAACCATTTTGTTCTTACAGATCTTTTGTTGTGTTTTGTTTTTTTGAGATCAGCTTTCACTCTGCAGTTCAGGCTTGCCTTGAACTTGTGGTGATCCTCCTGCCTCAGCCTCCCGAGGAGATTACAGGCATGCGCCTCCAGGCCTGACTCTTACAGGTCTTAAACTTCTTGCCATTTTAAATTTTCTTTTAGCTTCTCTAACACCAAGAATTTTCTGTTGCTATTTCTAAGGACCACAATTTTCCACTTTTCATTTTTTCTGAAATGGCAATATATCTTAGAAGTGAAGGACACAGAACCAGACATACGGTGGCATATGTCTGTAATCCTAGCACTTGGGAGGCTTAGGCAGGCCCATCATGAGTTCCAGCTATATAGCCTGGAATACATAATGAGACCCTGTCTCAAATTTTCTCACACACACACACACACACACATGTTTATACACACACATACAGATACATTTGATAAGATAAGGTTTCTTTTATTCTCTGATTCTTTGGCCATATCTTATATTGGTGAGAAGTACATAAGTCTGTGTCCTCTCCCATAACAGAATATGATGATTTGGACATAATTCATTGCCAGGAGCCCCCATTTGATCTTGGTCTTCAAATTAATATCTCTTCTTACCTTCTTGCTATAGCAGCTGCCAGATAATGTCTCCCATCTTGAGATACACCTCAGTTATTTATTAGTAGATTTGTCATTTGAGAATTAAGTAATTGTTATAAACTGCTTTCTTGTTAGGCTAAATACCTACTTAACAATTTGTTTTTCTATCTCAAAAACCTAATTTATAAGAGGAAATGGGAACTAGAAAATTACAATATATTGGGCTGGGGATATAGCTCAATGACACAGCGCCTGCCTGGCAAGTGCAGTGCCCTGAGTTCAATTCCTGGTACCAAAAAAAAGAAATTTACAATATATTGAACAAATTGTTAAACATACAGCTTTTTAATACAGTCACAATACGGTTAACAAAGATGGATAAAATAGTTACATATACACCAAAGGGACCTTAACCTCTGAATCTTTGCCTTTTTCAGACATCTGTAAGGAACACTGTAGGAGCTTAGTGAAACTATGTGACTTTCACTTGCTAGCGGGTAGATGGATAGTGTGGTATCTCTTTGAAGAGCTGACTGTTAGGCTGAAATGGAGTTCCTGTGTTTTACCTGAAAACATAGACTTTAACCTATTAATGAAAATGCAGTGTTGGCTTGTTTGTGGTCATATAAATTCTCTTCTTAAGCTAAGAGGGGGAGGGAGAAAGGGAAGAAATTAAGATATCTTACACACATACACCAAATCCCTATGATGAATGTAACCATATACTGCAAACAGGAATGAATAAAAATTTTTAAATTAAAAGGCTAGATTCCTAAAGTGTTTTCTACAACATTACTGTTTGTCTTCGGGGGATTTATTTCTTTGAGAAATACTATGTAGGAATCATAAGAACGTAAATTTAAAACAAAGCTGCCTTTACCACTCTATGTGATGCCACGTAGGAGAAATTCTGTGTTGTTCATAATTGTTAAACTTTGGGTTTTTTGGCCAGCATTGAGTTACAGCTACAAGAGCTGGGCCCTGTCATCCGAAGCGGCGTTTACTCTCATCTTGAAGCTTTTGTGCCATGCAATAAAGAAACACTGGTGAAACGTCTCAAGAAGTTGCACCTCAATGTCCAGGTAGGAGAAGGGCAGACAGCGCCTGCGTGTGTAATTTCATAACCTACGAACCTAGGACAGAAGAGAGTTGTTTCTCTTTGGGGTCTTTGCACATGAATTGTTTCATAGTATGCATAGAGGTAGTTAGTAACCAGAGGAAATCATTAAAGGTATTTTGTATCTCCTGAAAAACAGTTACTTCAACAGTGCATAGCTTTAGGCAAGAAGTGGTCCTTGGACTGCTAAGTCAGTGGAGAAGGAAGGATCTGACAAGCATGGAATTCTTCATGTAGGCATTCACTTCTGTTAAAATACGTCTTTCCAACTGAGAAACTGCAGGTTAATGAACAACTGAAATCTACTGGTGTTTTACATTTTGTGCCTTTGCCTGGCCCCTTTAGAAATTAGCAGTTGGAATTCAAATGACAGGCTGGATGTGGTGGCACACCTATAATTCTAACACTTGGGAAGCTGAGGCAGGAAGGCAATAAATTTTGAGACAGGGTTTTAGTAAATTGCCTGGGCTGGGCTCAAACTTGTGAGCTTCCTGCCTCAGCCTCCCAGAGTACTAAGTTCATAGCTATGAACCACCGTGCTCAATTCTATAGTTTTATCACACAGTTTATGACCCTAAACATAACACTGTTTAGTTTTACATATTGAGCTTTTTTATTTTGGCAGTGCAGGACCTTGCCCATAGTAGGAAAGCATTCTACCAGTGAGTTATATCTCTATCTTTTTTTTTTTTTTTTTAATTTTGAGGTAGGATCACACTGAGTTGCCCAGGCAGCCTTGAATTTGTAATCTTCCTGCTTCAGCCTTCCAGTAGCTGGGATCACCTGGCATGGTGGCACACACCTGTAATCCCACCCCTCAGGAGGCTGAAGCAGGACATTTGAGGCCAACTTGAACTACATAGTGAGTTCGAGGCCAGCTAGAACTATATAGCGAGACTGTCTCAATAAACAAAAAAAGGGGAGGGTGATATTACAACAGACACTATTATATTTGCTAAATATTTATTAATTAGGATGCATGGAGTAGGTTTAAATACTTACTAGTAATAATATTTGTGTTCTAAAAACGTTGTCTTAACAAAAAAACCACATTTCAGAGCCAGGGGTGTAGCTCAGTGGTAGAACTCTTGCCTAGCATATACAAGGCCCTGGGTTCAATTCTTAGCACTACAAAAACAAAACAAAAACCTTGTTCCAGTGAAGAAAAGCAAAGTCTAGCAATATTTATATACCTATGATGGTAATAAAAGTATATTTTAAATAGTTAAACACACTATATTATTAGCAAAATGAACATGATTTGGTTACAACTGTTAGCCAGAAACCTTTTTACCCTGAATCCATATGGGTAACAATCTCCTAGTTTCCTCTCTCACCTTGGCCTTGAGCTTGCATATTTGCTTGCAGCGTAAGTCACCGCAAGAACAGGCTTCCAGCACCCTGCTGGTACTGCCCTTCCCACATCGCATGTTCCAGGATCCCAGAGCAGCATCTTCTTTGGGTATTTCCTCCCCACCATAGTGGGGGTTAACCAGTAGCCTGCACAATGAAAATTTTGTTCTCTGTTTAATTATATATTAGTTAAAACATGAGCCTTCTTCAAGAAAAGAAACCTTATTAGTAATCATGCTAGCCAGGGGTAGTGACACACACCTGTAATCCTAGCACTCAGGAGGCTGAGGCAGGGGGATTGTTGCAAGTTTGAGGCCAACCTGGGCTACAAAGTGCGCTCAAGGTCAGCCTGAACTGCATAG